ATGGACATAGTACATTAAAATTCTTTAAATTGCAATAGAAAAAATCATTTGTACAATGTATGAAAGACCATCAATAGATTCTGGTAATTGTTTACAATATTGGTCACTATTTACCTACAAAAGAAATGATGTGAGATTTGGAATATGAGAATCACTATTTATATTTTGAGCACCTGACAACAACACTAATTGTTGTCAGGTGTCATCTGACGTGTCCATACGAAAGTTTGACAATATTAAAGATAACCTACCTTAGACTTGTTGTCAAAAGAACATTATTTGTGTTATTTAGTGATTTGTAAAATTTTCTTTCGATGATTTATTACGACTTTCAATTTACTTCCACATTTGCCGATGAAGCTTCATCCTTTGCCACTGTGAAACTCTGGTAAAAGTACAATGATTGTAATCGTGGTCGCTGTTCGCTCATTGACGAAATTCGTATTCGTAAAAGTCGACTAATATTAGTTGTTGTTTCAGGAAACACCGATGCTGTGTAAGAACTGATAATGAAAAATCGTCATGCGACATACTGTGATATTGATGGAACCCTAGGCAATAGCTCCACCAGTATATATAAAATAAATACTTCATATATATATAAAATATTGTCATGAGAAAGGCTTGTTCTTGTTGAATGTCATCATCCATCGTTTGACAAAATCTGAAAAAGATGCTTGTAGCATCTTAAAAAGATGTTTGTAGCATCTTAAAGAGATGTTCAAGAAGTATAATGGTGGTATTTTAAAACAACTATATAAGATTGTAACAGCTGACGAATCGTGGATATATGCGAATGAGCCAGAATGTAAACAGCAGTCAACTGAATGTTTCAAGATGAACCAAATCCAACAGAAGTTGTTCGCGCTCGAAGCACTTCGAAACAAATGGTCGCTTGTATTTTCGGGAAAAACAAGTCATATGGTAACTATATCCGTACCGTTACAGGAACTTGGTATACAACCATTTTTTACAACCAACCGAAAGTGTACCATTGATTACCAAGTTGGAGAAATATGTAATGTACATACAATATATGAACACGATTAAAGGAGCATTTGAAAACAAAATCGTTATAGGCAGTACTAATTATCATTATATATCATTTATTAAGAACTTATTAATTAAGAAATATCTATGTTTACAAAACACACAGACAACAGCACTTTTCTGCGCTCATGAAATGTTAGTTTTTTTTTTTTTTTTTTTTATTTATATTTAAACAAAATGAAGAGTTTAAATTTACAACAACTAGTCATATTGACTAACAAGAGGTTTTTTTTATTACAAGTAAGTTTATCTAAGTCTATCTAGGGTGAGCATATAGATACGAACTAGTCATCTCCTTGCTGGTTGAAACGCCTCAAAAGGTCATTAGGTTTGAAGCGGCATAAGCGTCTGTGAGTGACATCACAAAGTAGCGCTGGAATGGTGCTGTTTAAGTGTTGTCTCAGCCTGTCATAATGTTTTTTAGCAGCCTTCTGAATTTCTTGCTTGACAGTAGGTATTTCAAGGTCACGATGTAGATCAGAATTTCGCACGTACCACGGAGCGTTAACTGCATCCCTGATTGCTTTGTTTTGAAATCTTTGCATCATATCTATTATATGTTTTTTCGCACAGCCCCAGATTTGGACACCATAGAGCCAGACCGGCTTGAAGACTTGTTTATAGATCATAAGCTTGTTTTGCTGAGATAATTTAGATCTCCTTCCAATAAGCCAAGTTAACTTTTTGTATCTTATTTTTAGCTCATTTAATTTTTTCTTGACGTGTACCTTCCATCTCAGTTTGGCATCTAGACTCATACCCAGATATTTCGCAGAATTTGCAACTGGAATTTTTACGCTATTTAAAAATAATGAAATTTGATTTACTCTTTTGTTAGTAAAGTCTACATGATTAGATTTTGAACTGTTTACTATCAGCTTCCATTTATTTGTCCACTGTTCAATTTCTTGAAGAGCGATTTGAAGCTTAGTGGTAGACACCTTGTTGTTTGGACCTGTAGCCATTAATACCGTGTCATCTGCAAAAGTTCCAACAATACATCTTGGGTTCACTGGCAAATCATATGTGTACAGCAGGTACAGCAATGGGCCTAGTATACTCCCCTGAGGGACCCCGCGATTTATAGGATATAATTTCGAATACGCGTCAAGAAGTTTAACTCGATAGTACCTTTCGCCAATATACGATTCCAGTTAGTGTTAGTGAGTAATAAATTGTGGTTGCAAATTGTTAATCTAACGACCAACAATGATAATAGAAATCTCTTACATTAACAACACATTCTCATGTAGATAAACTTAAAGACATTTCACTATAATTTAGGCTCTGTGGTGTAATAACACATAAGTTGTCAGTAGATGTCTAATGCTGAAAGAAAAAACCGACATCAATTTTTATAAATTTTGCTTCTGAATAGTATATTAAACTTGATTAACTGGTATTTATAATTCTCATTTAATATTTATTTAAAAGTTATTCATTTATAATTCTCATTTTCTTCAAACTCTACTTGATGTATATAGTCTTCATGCATTTAGTTGGTTTGAGGCAGTGGCCTGCGGTTTTGTAACTGCTTACTGTGGAAAATAAAATTGCTGTTTCTTTGTTTTACATTTTTTTGATTTTAATTTTTCTCTTTGTTTATTTCACTATACACTATATTTATTTTTTACTACATAAATTTTTATTTTATATATTTTGTTAGTTCACTAAATATGACTATCGAAATATTAAAATAGTACTTCAATAAAATATAATTTGTTTGAATATATTATAAATAGTACGTTATAGTTTTTAATTAAGTGATGAATAAGTCCGCTCAAAAGCTATTATTTAGTAATTTGTTTAAATGTTTTGAATTTGTGCCCACTGTGCACAGATTTCCTTATTATTTTACTCAATAAAAATCTGCTATTATAAATTATTGTCAGTTAAAATTAAGTCTAGAAATCTTTTGAGCAGGTATCTTCTATTACTGACTTTGTGATACCCCAACCCAAGTACCTATGCTTCCACTACGAAAGTATGCGGATGAAATTATATACAAACAAACATATAAAAATATGCGCTTCTGTTGAAAATTTTGTGATAAGAAAAAGTGATTTTTTCCTTTTGACGGTTTGGTTGTTGGTGCGGATGCATGGTAGTATTTTGTTGCTCATCTCTGACAGGATATTGTTATTGTTTAGCGAGGGATATACTAAATTAGCTTAAATTATTCAATGTCTACTCATGGTATATTTACAATTTTCCTTTTTGTTTGAAAATTTTGAAGTAATTTTTCACTTGTCAACAAAATTTACGAGTAGTAGTAAATTTAAAATGAATTTTCACTGCTCTTTGGTAATTTGCAATTTTGAATTTGAATATCAAAAGCATATTCAAACCTCATCAAACCGGGCAGTCAGGCAAGTTAGGCAAGTCAGGCACTCGACAGTCAAACAGCAAAGCAATGAACATCCACCCAATCCAGTAGTACTCCGGCCAGTAGCCAATTTAGTCAACACGCCTACGTGTTAGCATATTTTGATAGTAGCCATTAGGGTATTATTACCGCTGCAAATTACAAAAGCTAACATTGCATTTAATTAATAGTGGCAGCCATTAACACAGCCGCTCTGGTATTGTATCTGGGCAATGTAATCGCATAGCAGGCGGCAAAGCCAGGAATGGCAGCGATAGCAACAGCTACAGATGCAATTTAAAAAAGGATTTGGCCCAGTTTATATTATTTGTTTACTTGGTACGTGCATGGTTGGTGTTTGGTGAGTACGCTGTTCCATAAGCATTTCTGTTTACTTGCTTTGCATATTACATGTGGCAGCGCGTATGTGTGTTGTTTGTTTAATGTTTATGTGTATTTATATGTGGTCATACGTCAGTGTTGCTGGTGCGGAGAATACACACTGTTGCATTCGCTTCACACTCGCAAAGTAGCATAACCTCACCACCATCAGCAAATGTGTCAAAATCTTACTCGCTCATCATGGCGAATGGTTGGGCATCGCCCATGGAGGCTTGACTTTTTTCTTTTCCAAATTCTGCTTGGTTTTTTCTGTTACATTTTGGATTTTGTTTTTCGGATAACATTACCATTTGTTGCTGATACTTGTGACCACAAAACTGGGTCAACAGGACATTGAAGAAGGACTTTTGGCTTTGAATCGCTTGCGTACGTACTCGTTCAATGTAACATGTTTTGGGATTTGTAAAGCAACAATGAACAAAACATAAATTACATCTACATGTCACTAGTGTGTTTCAACTAGGAATGCCTTCTTTGGCATTTATGAAGGACAATGGAATATCTTAAATTTAAATAGGTCGCCTTTGTTATTTATGATGAAATGCAATGTCGTAATAAATTCTTCAACTTATTTAATCAAAAATTAACATTTCTTATTTGCATTCATTAAAAATTTAAAAGGCAGTATTTAATATTGATTCTGTATGTTAAGTAACATATTTTTAATAAAATAGTCTGCATATTTAACCAGAGAAAATGAATACATACATGCATATAAATATACTTGCTGATATATGTACAGGCTGTTCTCTATATCGTGAGAGAAATGAACAAGATGTACACACATCTTGATTTCATATATCTTGTATATATATTCGGAGGTTGGGAAGATTGCTCACTCACTCTAAAACTTTTTAATTTTGTTTCTGATATTGTCTTAAGTCAGACTTTAGAATATTAGAGGAGCTTTAAGTGCTATCTTCGTAACTTTTCAAGCGACCACGACTACGTATTCTATATAGGCATGACTATATTCAAATTCTAGCTCACAGCTAAGATGCTATAGCACGCAAATTAGAATCAGTATCGATGATGACATCTAAAGTTGAATTTATCAATTTGTCGAAAACTAAAACTATGTGCATGAATACAGGTCCGTCTACGTAAACGAATTTTGGATAGAAACGTTAAGAGTGTTGGGTATACTATACAATTAAGAAATTATGGATCTTCAGTCGGTAGATATTTATTAAGTTTCATCGAAAAATCAAAGAACAGATGATCAAAATTGTTCTCTTTATTTATTTATTATTTATATTTATTATTGTTATTAATCCAACTATTTTAGATAACAATCAATTAGTTGATGTTATGTGATTGTAGGCTGGGTCACTTATACATTTGGTTTAGTATGAGTTGTCTTGTCATCTTTGGTTCGCTTTATTAAAAAGTTCACTCAGCATAATCATTTCCAAAGCTAATATAATTGGTGTTATAAGGAGTCATGTGTAATTTGGCGAGTTTTATTATATATATTTCTCTATTAAATATCGTTAATATGAATTTTCCGTTTACTGTATTTGTGTCATAATAACTAACACTTCTTAAGTATGGTCTCTATCCATTTCCTTTCGTATTTTCTTAGTGTGCTCGTCATTTAACATCCAAATTTCATGTAATGTTTGAGCATTTAGAATATTATCCAAACTTTGTAGCCAAGGACTTTTAAAAGTACGACTGAGTGATTTCGCGCAGATTTCTTCAATTTCCTTGACCTTCGTTATTAACCAATCAGTTGTTTTCTTTTGGGATCTATAAACATTGTGCATCTTTTTCATACGCTTATTAATGTACACAAGTTTCGATACAAAATTCTCCACATTTGTTTCTTCAGTATTATCTATATCTTCCAGTGATTTTTCTAAGTTCATTGTATTGGCCGTAATTGAAATTTTTGGAGTATCAAAAATATTTGGATTCGGTCTTACATAAATAGGTGGAATTCTATTTGATCCAGGAGAATTTATGCAAATTGGGGCATAGTCTCTAGCCTTTTCTGCATCATAGAAAAGTTCATTTCCTTTATCATTGTGTTCATCGAATAATTTCTTAAACCATGCTAGAAATTCAAAATTTTCGATAGGATCGCCGCTAACCAATTTAGTAATTGGTATTATCTTTTTGATATGTAGCTGATCAAATCCATTTTGTAGTAAAATAAAATTCTTTATATATTCTTTTTCGTAGCTGGTAGTAAATAGAATTTTGTGTAATTTAATTATACTTGGAAAGACAATGTCGAAAAGTTGGCAATACGCTGCACCAGAACACATTTCATCTATTTTTACAAAATGTGTGCGAAGCCTTAAATTGACCCATTTCAGCAGTTTTTGTTTTTTTTGAGATTTAGTCTCTGTTGATTTTTTTTTATGCTTTGGCATTGCGATTTTTTGTCATTAATATGCCATTAAACTCAATAATATTTGAAACTTTGGGAAGAGTACAATTCAGGGCTCTTAGGTTCTTTGTAGAGTAAGTCAGGTCTGACTCTTCTGGTGTACATGTATGAATACGGACCCAACAGTTGCTGCTTAAGTTTATACTACATTAAAAAAGAAAAGAGTTGTTTATATATAATATTATTAATAACAAATAATTAACTATTAATGTAATTATTAATAATAACTAATAAGTTGAAATGTTGTAACATAATTATCACAAAATCTGTTTTTGTTGGAGGCCTGGACATAGGATTGTCAAGTATAGTAGGGGATCAGTGTGCTATTCCACCAATACTTCAACAATGACGTATTCCAACTAGCAGATTGTGCCGGAGATACTATAATATAGAGGAAGTGTCATCTTTACTTTTCACTTAGGTAATATTTATTAAGTAGTCTCTGATTTTGTCCTTTTGATATAAATAAAAATCAAAAATTTTTATCATTTACCTGTTGTTTCGTTGTTTTAGTTAGCATTTTTAAAGGAGTCTCTAATTTTGTATAATATTTAATATAATATTTAAAACCAAAACGAAGATAACTTTGCGAAATTATAATAAGAACAAAATACATTAAATAAATATTACCTAAATCAATATAAGTGGTCAAAAACAACACTCACTTCGCGACTAGTATCACAGCAGCTCGAATGTATTAAAAAATGCTTTTTCATTATCTTTGTAGAAGACCGAAAGAGAACTTGTATCTCAACTTTATTTGGAGCACCAAATAGTTTAAGGTAGTGGTTCCCAACCTATTTTTGACCAACCCTACTTTTTTGTTTTAAGTAGGGACCACAAAGTTTAAAAATAATGTACTATATTATTACTTGAATATGCTTTATGCGTCACTGGAATTATGTATAATGTATTGTATAAGTGCATAGGTACATTGTATAGGCTATAAAATAGATATGGAGTTACTTGAAAATTTTTGTGTTTATATTTTAATAAATTAAATTTGATTCACGAAACATTTGTTACCATCTCGTGGACCACCGGTTGGTAACCAAGGGTTAAGGTATATACGCAAAACCATATTGAAGACAATGGTTAGTATATCTCATTTGGTTATGTCAACTAAAATGAGATCACAAGGAGTAATAATCTAATCTAAGTCAGAATTGCTATGAAAATACTTTAAAGTATACATTTTTAAATGAGCTACCAAGTGACATTCCAGAACTTGGCTTCAATAAATCTGAATTCAAATAAAATCACACTACAAACTAGTTCTAAACACCAAAACAAATCATTTAACCCATAAAGAGAAGTTGAAGAATTTGAATGAGGTCTTATGACGTTTTATTGGGTTTCTCTATTAAAATTTAACTGACTATTATGTTATTAAATTTTCTTAGGTATAAGAAGATAATATATCCAACAACGATTTAATGTTCCAGAGTAATATAAATAAATAATTAACCCATAAAGAGAAGTTAAAGAATTTGAATGAGGTCTTATGACGTTTTATTGGGTTTCTCTATTATAATTTAACTGACTATTATGTTATTAAATTTTCTCAGGTATAAGAAGTCCATAAGATAATATATCCAACAACGATTTAATGTTCCAGAGTAATATAAATAAATAGTTAATTTAGTTTTATTTTTTTTAATTATTTTACGAAAATTGCAGCTATTAAAAAAATTGATGTGTGCGTTGAAGTTTTTCTTTTTAATTAAAAAAACTTTTTGTCCGTAAGAAATTGAAAACATTTAATCTTGTGCTGAGTGCCCTTAAGAGCACTTATGTGGTAAAATCTTTCTACAGTTGTAAAAAGTAAAAAACCATAAATACTACGCCATTTTTATTTCACACTTACACCGTACACATGCTCAAACTCACTTCCGCAGACATGGAGTAGTCATACGTTTCCGTGGAGTGGATGTATTTTATGTGTGAGACATAACGTTTTTTGGCATGAATAACTCAAACTCGCTATACTACAGCGATTCGCTAGTACAATTTCTCACTTTTTTCTCTCCTATACATCGTTGTTGTTGTTGCTTACTGCTTAGTTAGTTTTTTCCCTGATATATTTTTTTGACTGCATAGCTAAAATTTATGTTACCGAAAATTACTTTCAACGCTGCTTTCTGTCTTCTGCATATAATAACTCAAATAAGACCCAGACGACGATTTCAGTGATCCATTAGAGGGGAGGGAGGTATTGTAGGAGCCATTTCGAGCAGTGTAAACGTTACTAGCTGCATTGTGATTCATATTCGTTGTTAAATGAATTAATGTGTTGCGGTGTGTAACTCATGTGTGCGACGTGATCCAATCTACAAAATCTGCAACGAGGGACCAATGTCGAGTGACCTATACAATTGTTGGTATGAACGCGAGTGCAATATCAACTATGCATTACATTTTCAGGTCGCATAAACATAATAATTTTGTTTGTATGTAAATGAATTAGTAACTAGTAAAAGTCGGAACTAAAAACACGTGTGTTAGAGTGGCGCTTATAAGTCATAGTATTTCCCGCACCCTTATCTTTTATATTTTTTGTGTAGATTCCATTGTTATTTATATATAACTTTTTAAAGTAACCTTCAGTTTCTTTGCTCAACCATGTTGTTAGTAACTTTTGACTGCTTTATTACATTACTGCAGAATTTTAGGTGCTCCACTTACCACATTTTTATACGCTTGTCCTAGAATGTATCTATTACTAGTAGGATTTATCTATTGTTTGTGTGTGCAGCCAAATTATATTCATATTGTATTCTTAGTTGTTGCATTTTATATGCTTTGTGCTGATTTCTGTTATTTTTTTCCGACTAGCAGTAGGGAAAGGTCTGAAGCTGACTGCACTTTACAAATGCATTCATACCGCATAAAATATGCGCACACTTGGCACTATGCAATATTTTTAGGATTTTTGTGTTTCTTTGCTCGTTACTTTTATTCTCAACTAACAACTTATGTTGCAAATTGTAAAATGTTGAAATTAAACTGAAATTTACTATTTTACCAGGACATATGAATTTACACTTTTGTTGGAGCGCCATGCAAGTCGATGTTTGGCACGTTTCACACAATTTGTGAAAAATTATATTGGACTTTTTTCATGAAATTTGACCACAATGAGCATATTTCTTCAAGCATTTCCAAACATTTTCATATTTTATTCATTGCAAAAATAAAATATTCTTGTTTGTTAAAATTTAACTTTTTAGGAAATTTAAATAAACTGAAGTATTAAATTTAATTAAATATTTGTAGAAATCAAAATATTGCTTAATGGAAGGTAGGCAGGTTGAGCTAAAATAATGGTCCCTTGTGGGTATCATAGAAATAGCTTTGGTACATAACATACATAGATTGAAAGATCAGTATACGACCAGTATACGAGTTAGGGTGTACGAAAAAGGAGTTTACTTTCTCTCTTCGACGATGACAGATGAGATCATTAGTCAGATTATATGTCAGTCTCTGGCTTTGATCTGGGCTAGCAGGAGATTAGTCCCTGGACGTAGCGGTATAGTAAGTAAGCTTTCGTGTGTACATAAGGTACTAAATTGGCAGTTCGTTGGAATAGTTAAAAAGAAAAATTTATTACTCACAGAATAAATTGAACAAATCTCTTAATAATGAGTACGTACCTGTGTTCAAACTTTTGAATCCGAAATCATCATCCATTAATTGCCTTAAATCTGAAAATTTTGATTTTTTATTATTCTAAAAGTATATTGAATATATTTAAATTTAGTATAATTTGGTTAAAAATATTTTGCTCATTGATTTTGGTAATTCTATTACAAGGAATTACGAAATCTGTAAAATTTTGAAAAACATAATATATTTAAATATAAATAGATAATATATTAATTATATGGAAGTAGTTTTGAAGTTTAATATATAGGTAAAGCAATTACCAATATAGTTTATTCTTTCAGTACAAGTGATTATAATTTGGATTTCCAGCTTCTTCTCTTCTTCTTTGCTTGATGAAATGAGAGTTAGCTGTCTTAAGCACTTGTGCTCAATAGTGTCGGTAATCCACTGTAATAAGAGCTTCGTTGAATTCTGATAATAAGTTACTTAAATGATTTTATAGAAGTATGCTTTAAAGCTCAACATATCTTCCTAACGGAATACACATATATTGCAAGTGATTTGAGAGAGTGCAATTCTAAATTTGTGATCGTAATCGAATAATTTTTGTATTTGGATTGTATTGTATATTAGCTGGCGTCACTAAGAACCTGGTTCACACAGCAAATCTGTATTTTAATTTTTAATTTTTTTTTGACATATATATTCAAGGTTAAGTTTTATGATAGGTTTAAAGTTCTAAGCTTGGTATTTGTAGTTCAACAATTATAAACGAACTTATAAAACTAATGAAAATGATGTTGAGTATTTGTCTGACGACAAACGACGATTATCATGATGATCGAATGTAAAGAATACTATGTTTCTTTATGGCGACAGGGCAACTCTGAATACAATGCAATGGTAAAAGGAGTGATGCAGTAAAGTATCAGTAGTGGTTGTGTTGTAAGTGTGGAATACAGAAGTCGGGCTGCTCATCGTCGGAGGTGCGAACAAATATTGTTAATAATATTGTTAATATTATAAACTTTATATTTTGTTAAATATTTACATATTAATGAATTAATAATATAATATAAATATTATATATATTATAATATATTATATATATATAATATATATATATATATATATATTATAATTATAATAATTATATTATATATATTTGCTTTTTTCAAAATTTATGAAAAATATTTAGCTTCTAAAACTTAATAATATGAAAGGCAATGTTTGATTAATAAAAACCTTCTTATAATAATCACAATATCTTCATCATTACGAATTGAGTTATTTTACTTATTCAAAATGTTGGAAAAATTCTGAGAAAATCTTCTTGATATGCAAATACTTGAAGTATGCAAATTCACCTGCCACTTCTCAAGTTTCCAAAATTTAATGCAGAATTTTAATTTCCTTCTTTCAAATGTCCTTTAGTTTGATGGAATTTAAATGGATTATTTTCTTCGATATGCTTATCCTTCTAATGCTTATCCTCTGGCGTATCATTTAAAAAAATTTCATTTAATTTCAAATGTTCTAAAATTTAATTCAATTTCATTTACAAAAGAAAATTGCTGACAAATGTCAAGAAAATCCAAGGCGTAACCTTTGCCAAACTCTTTATGTGCTTTTTGCTCGCTTATTTAGTTTCTGCTATGTTGAAGCCATTTTCACTTCAAAATGTCATTCTTGACAGCAGTGTTATTGCTTCCTTTTGTGTATTTTCTTACATTAATTGAACTGTCACACATACACATGAGCAATTTGAAGGATATTGCTATATGATCATGACCTACACATATACTACATAGTTTGTGTGAGCTTTCATTAGTACAGATGTGAGATGTATGTGTGTATATGTGCAAAAACTGAAATCCTTTCCATACGAATATTGACAATTTTCAAAGTTCCATTTCCTCTTGTTTATGTGACATAAAAACTTTCTCACTTTATTAATTTGACAGTTCTTCTTTTGTATTTTTGATTTGCTGACACAAAATCTGTCCACCACCAGTGTTGGATATTAACTATTTGACTTATTAGCATTGGGTGATATATTATGTTCCTCGTCCCTTATATCATGTGTGCTATAGGCGCATGGAATATTTTCGTTGTAGGGTCAAATAAATTTGCTTCATTTGTGGTCTCCGTACATGTAGCCTATCATGTAAATCAATGTAATGCAATTTACCACTACATGTGTACAGGAATAGAGGAGTGGGGTAGGTGCATTTGATAAAATTTTACGACCTCTTTACAAGATATTGTATTGTCATCTGTCATTGGGAGTGAAACTTTAGGTTTGGATGTGCGAAGTATCAATTCATTTACTATTTGTTGTTGCGGTTAGTGCTTTTGTTTATTGTAGTTGTAATTTCTTAGTAATTTCGTTACATATTAGGTTTTTGTTATTATCAATTTCCACACATGTTAAGTAAAGTTTCTTGTCAAATGTTGTCGCTCATTATTGTCAAACGACTGAAACATCGAATATAAAGTAAAAATTTTCTGGAAAGTATCTTGAAAGTTTGAAATCGTGTTAAACTTTGCTAATTGTAATTATGTTGTTTATGTTTTAGTAACACATAAACTTTTAACGAGTTGAAACTTATTGGAATTTTTAAGTGAACAGCTGCTTTTGCAAAAATTGTCATGAGTGGTTGGGATGGGCATATGAGTCACATTTTTCTGAAAGAAATGGAATTAAAAAAAAAAAGAAAGTTTCGAACAACTTTGGACGGTAGAAATTTGAAATTTTCCATACTGACAACTGAACTAAAATATTATTGAAATGGATATTATGAAATTAGAATAAATATTAATATGTACTATCCATATACTTACTACAGAAGTGTTAGATAATGATTATGATTTTTTGTAACGATTTTAATAATGATTTCAAAATATTGTAAAAGTACTAAAGAAATTTTATTTAATATCTCGTCACTTTTGTGTTTAAATATTGACTGAAAGTTGAAATAGTTATATAAAGAAAGAGTTGGAAAAGTTATTTGTACTTGTCGTTATCAACAGTACTTTAAAATAAGCAGATTGAGTTAGATTAGCTTAGGTTGTACTAGAAATCCAAATGGGTTTGCTTAGGTTTATTGGCCCATTGTGTTACCATATAAGGGAAAAACGGTTATGGCTAAAGGTTCAGAGGTTTTAAAACACTTTAAACCTTTGCAAAGCTTGAAATGCTGTTTAAATAAGTACTTTTATCAAATTTAATGACAATTTAATAGCTATCAACAAGTCTGTCAATTAGCAGCAATTTTTATGCTCTAAACTCTCTTTCGAAAGTATTCTATGCCGAGATTCAACACATCCCAACGTTTTATAAGAGCCTCGAATTGTTTTTAAAAAATTTTATTTTAAGCCTTATTATCACAATGGACCTTTAAGATCTAAGTGAATTCAGGAGCAGGGTAACCATATGCCTGTATATGTTATTATCCAAGTGTTCGATTACAGCCTTATTATCACAATGAACCTTTAAGATCTAAGTGAATTCAGGAGCATTGTAACCGTATGCCTGTACATGTTATTATCCAAGTATTCGATTACTGTATACTCTCCAGAAATGAAGTTTATTTCCAAAACTTTCCAGAAAACTTCTATCCAGTTTTTTTAATTTACTAGTAGTGTATTGTGAAAGTTTTTGAAGTAGTCTATGGCAACAAGTCAATAACGATCCCAATATAACAACTATTGAAACAAAGAATAGGACACCTGAATAGTTGTACAAGTTGTAGAGAATGATGATGCTCTTGACTGCAGCTTTGAGGTGATTTCTACCACGGCTAGCAGAATACCATTTTTTCATTCATTGATCTCATGAAGTTATCTCATCAATATGGTCAAGATTTGTTGTTAAGGTTAAGGTTTGTTTACTTTAAATGCGAATTTACACATTATATATTTCATTGTGTCTTTTCGAAAGTTGTCATTTTCGGTCAGATTGTAGTAGACATTTGTTATAGAAAAAGATAGATGAAGAGTCAGTAAGTGATTTGTAGGAATCTGATTAAAGTTTATTAATGTGTGATGAGTAATTAATATGATCTTCAAAATAGGCTCACAAATTAAAATTTTAGGAAATTGAACTCTGTGTGTTATAAGTTTAGGAGGATCAATTTGTGGGTAAAAGGAAAACGACAGATAAGACATTGAAGACACTTGTACTAATATAAGGCATGTTTTTAAATAATAGCATGAAACCGAAAAACTTTTCTTGTATGTTACTTTTTTTTATTACAATGTTCATAATTAGAGAAGAAAATAAAATAGATATCAGATATCTTAGAGGACTTTCGATCGAAAATCTGAAATCATCATTTACTGTACAATATGCTATGTTGAGTTAGAAGTCACCTATTCTGAGTAAGTTAAATCGGTTTTGCTGAAACATCTTTCCTGTTCTTTTATCTAAACTATTAATGAATGCAACTTGTTTATAAAAAATCTTAGTATTCGAAGAAGATTATAAAGATCTTTATGTGCAAATCACTAGTGGACTATTTGTAATAAAAAAATTTGGTTTCGGCGAACAATTTGTTCTTTCTTTAAAGAAATGAGAGAAAATTTGACCACTTTCTTTAAAGAAATGAGAAATGAATCCCTTTTCTTTAAACTCATAGCGTTTTTCATTAATCTTTTTAGTAGTCCTTATGGACAGAATATTACTAGAAATTTTGTTGAAAGCACTACTACACAATTAGGTGTCACGAAAAATAAGTCTTTCAGCTGTGCAATAATTTTACTAATTAAATAATTGCTACATTCTGGCGATGCAATTTACTCCTATTGTAAATCGATTTAGTTCCTAAAGTGTGCTCTGTTTTTTGTTGTGTAATTATTGTACCAAATGTATTCAATACAACACAAGGTGAGCACATACGCAACCATAAAATAAACAAAACTTGGCAATACAAATATATGAATCCTATTATAAAATATACAGAACTCCACCCCCCATACTCACATCCAAAAGATGGTTGAAGTACAATTGTGGAACATAATAAATCGGTGTGTATGTGGTTATTGTACTATGCTAAACCGATTTCGGAAGTGCCTTTGAGTTTGTACAGGATATAGGACAAGCAAAAAGTAACATATGGAAACTTTGCATACTTTATATACACTTACCTATGCAAGTGAAAAGCACAAGAGTCCTTTTAAATAGTAAAGTTTAGTAAATGAGTAGACTCAAAGCAATTGTTGTA